TCTTCCCTGGGACTGAAAGACCACCAAACTACCACATCTTTACACCGTGAAGGTCGAACCCATTCACAGCATGCGACGAAGCGCGTCATGATATGCCGAACACTTGTGACGAACTTATTTACGATCACGGTCAATTCAGTTCCGCGAGACACGGTTTCGTGCCGAGGTGCTTCCCGTGCTCCGCTGAATATCAGCAACATATTGGCCCACGACTTGACCCCAGAATCAGTCTGAATAGGAAAATACAGCTTCCCGGAGTGCAACCAGGCGCTTGGCAAGGGAAAAGGGTGGGATGAGAGCACGCAGCTTGATGAAGGTCCCCGCAAAAACTACCAGATCTGGCCCAGCAAATTCCGAGGGCATCCAAGTCTCTCCGTCTGCAGTGTTTCAGCTCCCGTTTATTAATGCTAGCCACATTAATGCTAACTAGTCTGGTTGAGCTGAAGGTCATCCGTGGGATACATACCATACCTATCCCTCCCTGGCGTAGGAGACCCTCTGACCAATCCCGAGAGGTCCCTCGTGCCGCTCGGGACCGGAGCAGCGACAGCGGGATTGGCAGTAATCTCCGATTTAGCTAAATCTAGCCGTAGATAGGGCATTAGCCTCCGGCCAGGCAAGGCATATCTGGGGTAAATGGTCTCATAATGACCTTAATGACATGGCTGTGATACCATGAAAACTGTCCCACGGATGGACATCAGAATCGGCCTAGAAAGGAGCAGCAGCTCTATATCTTGAAGCGACGGCAGCGCTCGGCAATAGCTCTCGAATTAGCCCAATCCGGCCTTGGACAGTGCATCAGTCTCTGACCAAGCAGCGGAATGTTCTGGCACCAAATCAACCCACGATTTGACCACGAGCCCGATCTAAAAGCGCGGCGCGGTGATCTCCAACGGGCGTCGCCGCGGCTGAGCGCCTCCAGCGCGGCCCTATGACACCCCGGACCGCCACGCGTGCCACCACCGGCTCCGAACGCGCCGTCCAACGAGCGGCCGGAGCCCCAAATTGGCCGCCCGACACCCCTTACGGGCGGCGGCGCGGGCGGTCTGGGCCGGTCACGGCCGCGCCGCGCGCGGACGACGATCGATCGGGACCGGACGGGATCGGCGGCGGCACTGCCGGCCGCATCACCCGCCGACCATGGCAGCGCACGCGCCCGGCATAGCGGCGGCCGCGCGGCACCGGACAAGGCTGGCGACATTGCCGGCGGCGACCGGCGGCGACCGCTCTCTGAGCACCGGCAGATGGCGCCAGCCGACACCTTTGAGTCAGCAGAACGGAGGCATAGTCGCAAGGCCACGTGCGGTCGCGTCGGCGGCGCTTCCGCGGCGCTCGACCCACCACCGTGTTGTATTTGGCGCCGGGAGTATTAGCTGCATTGCCGGACTGCCGGACCCTGTGGGATCGGTGGCAGCCGGCGGGCTCATCCGACGAGCAGGTGTGAATGGCCACCAGGCGTGCCATGGGCCGTCGCAGCCAGGCGTGCCATGGCCATTGAGGCCGGGTGTGCCACGGGTCATCACAGCCAGGCGTGCCAAAGGTCATTGTAGCCAAACATGTCAAGGGTCATCGCAGCAAGGCGTGCCATAGGCCGTGGCAGCAGGGTGTGCCATGGGCCATGCCAGCAAGGTGTGGCATGGGTCAATGGCAGCTAGGCGTGCTATGACCATCCCGGCGTGGGCTTTGCGTTAAATACAGAGGCAGATTGATCTAGCTTCCGGACGCGCCACGTGCACACTGCAACATCTGGGCGCTACGCAGGTAAGCAGATTTAATCATTGTATAGCGACTGTTGATGTGCTTCCAGTTGCACAGCCACCAAGAGCTGACGCAGAGGTGAGGCTGAACTAACCATCCAACGTCCCTGGTGTTGAATTAAAAAACCCATACGTTGCACAGCCCACGTATAGAATGTTACCTTACAGCTGCAAGTTAAGTTACGGGAGTTACGGAGCGATCACAAGCGAAGTTGGCAGCTGTTTTATCATTGTAAGCCACGTAGATCAATAAGGGACTTGGACTGGCGCACACCATAGGGGCAGATTTTCTTTTTTCATTTCCATTCCATCTGTACATTCCCACTCACGTCTCTCCCTTGGATGGCGGGTTAAGGGTGCGCACGGAAAGGTCCGGACAAGGTAATGCTGCATAAGTATGATAATATGGCCTCAAGGCATTTGAATCGAGTCGGTTAATCAATAATTATATTTACATCCGTTTCTGCAACGACTCAAAGATGTCTTCCTTTCTCCATGCGAAAACGTCACAGTATTTCGCGAGACCACCACACTTGGCACTTGGCCCCAGTGTATACATGTATAGTATATACCCCCAGTGTATACCCGCATTGTCACTAGTTATGGGCTCCTCCTAACAATGAGAGCACCTCTTGGCCCCGCGCCGCGGTGCAGGGACGTGCAGTCGTGCTCGTAAAGCTCGCGCATGCCTCGTCCCGCGTCCTGTTCAAAACAGCCACCAACGTCGACCAGGTGTCACCAGAGCGACGCTGGCCAAGACCTTCGGTACATCGGGGGCGGAACCACGCCTGCCACATGGCCTCATTCCCTCTGCGAAATCTTCCACCGCCACGACAGAGCTAGAATATAGGATGTTTATGAGGCGGTCGATTAGTGGAGGTGTCATGCTGATTGGTCTCATAGGCTGGAAGGATGGAATGTCTGCAAACCTATTTTTACGTTTTTTCTGTACTTTTGGTGACCTTCAATCTGACACAAAGTCACTATGTTTGGAGAGCACACATTATCGACTGAACAACATCGAATGGGGAAGGTTTCATGTCGATCGGTGCTATAGACTTGGAACATTGGGCTATCAACAGGTTGGATCGGCGTTTGGTCTCTCCCTCCTGGAACCGCCTGCCGCCCGACGCTGTAGCTTCCAGGAACCGTGCTGTCTTTATGCCTGGACTTACAACGCGGAGGGCTGTGCTTTTGTGGGCTGTCGGTGTTTGGTGTTTTTGATGTTTTTATCATTGTCGCATTCCCATTTAAATCACACAACATGAAGCCCATTAACTCGAATCAAACATTAAGCCATAGCGATTTAACGACTAGTAATTAATGCATGATTATGATGATCTTGGTGGTGGCAGCCACAACGGACTTCCGCCATGGAAAGCTGCCAACAGACGGTATGAGTGGGTACCTCGTCGTTGACATATGACAATAGAATCAGCCAAAATTGCGCGGGGATGGTCTACGAACAGTCGCTCGTCCTCGCGCTGGTCTACGAACAGTCGCTCGTCCTCGCGCTGGTCTACGAACAGTCGCTCGTCCTCGCGCTGGTCTACGAACAGTCGCTCGGCCTCGCGCTGGTCTGAGAACCCAGCAGGAATGTGCACTTAATATCCAGTACGTCTACATGTGCACTTTGTGTGCTATAAAATTATACCTGCGCAGGCACGTTCCAAAACTTTTGCCGTGCAGAAATGCCATGTTTTCTCCCGAATCATGTAAATTTGCAAGAAGTTCCCGCACAATCACATAGCATCCAGTGTTAACTCGTTGTCTCGGGGAGGAGGAGGAACAAGGCTGTCTTGGCCCTTCTTTTGGCTACGTCCCAGAACCTGCATGTATGCATGCTAAATTAGTCCATGGTTTTAATGTTAGGGAGTGATGGCCATATTTTATAATTTTATCGTCTGGCTATAAGCATACAAAACATATGTTTAGACTTATGGCGGAGGTGTGGTTTCCAGTACAGTTTTGAGAGAAAGGCGGGTGAAATATTTGGGGCAGTCAGCTCTTTAATGAATTTTGGGGCCGGTTTGGCAGCCTTTTCAAGCCCCTCCTACACACACACACACAAATTTTAGAAACTTCCATAGATGGGGCTCAGCAGCTGAATGGATCGTAAAGCCCCAATGACGACGAAGTCCTGCGTACGTCCCTGTAAACCCATGTCGTCGGGGGTACGGAGTAGGGAATAGTTGCCCTATCGGATGCCGTCATCATATGGACCGTCACCCGCGGCGCCCTGGCGCAGCCCGTCAAGCCAGCGTACCGGTAACCGTTCCTGAGCATTCAGCTCACAGCGCCAGGGGTATCAAAGGCGCTGAAAATGCCCCGAGGCGTGAGCAAGCAGATCCAGTTTCTGTGTATCGTCGCGCATGACAAGTAGGGTGCAGGCGGGGCGGGATCCAGTAACCTGGCGGCAGCCCTCTCCAGCCATCAGCTGCAGTCGCGGTGATGTCCGCTGATGAAAGCTGAATGGGATTTGTACGAGTGTGGGAGTGCCCGCTGCGCCTGGCCGCTTGAAATATATACCCATGTACTGAAAACGCACACATCGACCTCTAAAGATTCTACAAGAATGTCGCTTGAGCGCGGTAAATGGTTTCAAAGCGGTCTCTGGATCAGCTCGGAGCATTCATACGACTTTCGGAGAACCTAAAAAAGCATCTCTAACACCATATCAGGTTCTCTTCCTGCCGTGGAAAAGACGTCACTCAAGGTATCGGAGAGGGCTTTGACAATGCTTGAGGTTCTCACACGCACTGGAAAATATTTATAAAAATAGTACCCATAGTTTTAAAACATGTGGCTCTTTGTTAGACATATTCATAAGGATCTGATGGACGATCGTTCTTGGACAATGTTCTCACATGTGTAAATGTGTGTTTCAAGATGTAAAATATGCAATTTTGAGTGTAAAGCGCTGGTGAGGCTCGGCTCGCGTATAACGGATGAGGCGCGATGGTCTCGGCGCCTCCCACGCGGCGTCACCGGCTCTCCCTGTAAATACATCACACCCGGAGTCCCAGGGCCAGGTCTGGGAGCTGACCACGGGACAGCTCACTTGCTTGTTTCCTTGCAACATCGCCATCAGTATTCTCCAAAACGGTAAGGGGCGATAAGCTCTTCGTCTACCTTCTTTTGGACGCCTAGAATCTTAACTTTAAAAAACTTTATCTTCCCATTTTAAACATTGTAATGCCGATGCTTACAGGAGCAGAGACGGCAGCAGTCGTCATTTACCTCTCCATTGAGAAAGCAGTATAGCAGCGAGACGAAAAAGCCTTGGAAGGACGCGAGGAAGTGCGTCAGGTAGGACCACACGGCGAACTCCTCCACAGAGCGGTCCAGAGGTGCGTCCACCATGTTGATGATGTTGTTGATGCCGAGCAGCGGCAGCAACACTATTGCAGCCTTCACCGCCTTCCTGAAACAGGTTCATCGACCGGGGTCAGACCGGGCAACTGAGCACATGGGGCGGCACCGCCCCGGCCCACCGCAAACGGATCGTCCGCCCGCCATTGCTAGTAGGCTGGCTGACCTTCTACTCATGAAAGCGGGGGTGGTGTTCTGGGTCGGCCTGGTTTTGAGACAGGTGTTTGGTCGGTGTTGCTGGTGTCTTGTCGCAGCTGAAGCCTGCTGCAGTGCTCGTTCGATAGGCCTCTGCAGCTGCCAGTGCAAACACGATGCATAACAAAACTTGAATGCAACATTAATTGTCCAAAACGCATGTTGTATGCACTGAGAACTTGCCAAATATAGAACACGAAGAAAAGACAACTTTTCGTGAACAACATCTGTACAACAGAAAACGAACACGCCAGTACTCAGATCTGGCGTAACATCACACTTGCCATGATATATTAGGCGCAGATAATCAATGTCGCTGGCCAACCCTTAAAACTTAACAAGTCGCTAACTAACTAACATGAATGGACACCAAGAACGCCTGGCTGAACCGACCCGGATGTGAGGGAGGCAGCGGAGGCGTATCAAACAGTCAACGCTCAGCCCGACGCCACACAACAGTGAGGTAGGCGCCCCTAAAATTATGCTGTGATACCGGTCCGCTGTGCTGTATTCAGGCCATCTTTCAAAATACGATAGAATACATTAACTGAACTGAGCTGAATCGGCACGCCCGTCACGGATGGCACGCGAGACGCGGGCCGATACCGGTTCATTCTTCAGGCGGGTTGGCTTGTCACATCGGCGCGGACAATCACTCACACGCCGTAACACACCGCTGAAAGCCCCGAATCGATGGGGTTGTGTGGCTCCGGGCCGATATCGGCTCATTCTTCAGGCGGGTTGGCTCGTCACATCGGCGCGGACAATCACTCACACACGCCGTTACACACCGCTGAAAGCCCCGATTCGATGGGGTTGTGTGGCTCCGGGCCGATACCGGCTCATTCTTTAGGCGGGTTGGCTCGTCACATCGGCGCGGACAATCACTCACACACGCCGTTACACACCGCTGAAAGCCCCGATTCGATGGGGTTGTGTGGCTCCGGGCCGATATCGGCTCATTCTTCAGGCGGGTTGGCTCGTCACATCGGCGCGGACAATCACTCACACACGCCGTAACACACCGCTGAAAGCCCCGAATCGATGGGGTTGTGTGGCTCCGGGCCGATATCGGCTCATTCTTCAGGCGGGTTGGCTCGTCACATCGGCGTGGACAATCACTCACACACGCCGTAACACACCGCTGAAAGCCCCGAATCGATGGGCTTGCGTGGCTCCGGGCCTTTGCAAACAGGCCATCCAATCGCGGCGCTATCACTCGGCTACAGTGGCCTAGTTAATCGGACACGCTTGCACAGAGAGATAGCCCACACTGTGACGTCTGAAACGAACCGAGGGTAAGTTCCGCTGCATGCCAGCGGCCAGCGCGGGTTTGTTCGGTGGAATGCCCCGTTACAGCCGTGTGGCGCAGCGATCACGCGTCATGTAAAACGTAAACACTGAGATCAGCAGATCCAACGTGTATCATGCATGGTATCAAACTGTGTATTGCTGACACGATCCTCGGAACTTTCGGCAAATCAGAGTATCAATTTTATGATACGGTACGGACTTGCATAACCGTGTATCGCTGACGCGATCCTCGGAACTTTCGGCAAATTAGAGTATCAATTTTGTGATACGGTACGGACCCGCATAACCTTTTTTATCTCAATGCGCAAGACGACAACGCATCAACGTCAGACGACAGATAAAATTTCAGTGTTCTCGATGCAGTCCAGCAGCTTGTCGCATAGTAACCGGTTTCAAATAACTGGCACGATCCAGTTAGACCAGCAAAGATATTCTAGCAATGCGAATTAAAGCACCCGATCGCATAAATCTTTACTTAGTTCTGCGGGCAGTTAGTCGAAAGCGAGGTTATATTCTGGCACAAGCAGTCGTATATTTCGGAGATCCGCAAACCCAATATTACAGCCGTCGCCTACTGATTTTTCTTGGAGCTTTGCGACTTCGCAGGGATTCCTGGCGCTGCCCTTCAACTGCGAGCTGTGCCATCGACGACTGCGCGACAGGACTCAAATAATGTATCAGGCCACTCGCCAAGTTCTGAAGCGGAACTCCGCGGCAAATCCTGCGAGATCTACTCGGCCGAGCGCCATGAAGTTTGGTCACAAGCGGCGAGCACTGAAAGCCCTGGCTCCAGTCGAGTGGGCGCCGCCAGCAGGCAGGGGCCACATGTGTAACTCCTGCTTGCACTGTACTTGCCTTGGACTCAGGAGCGGCGGACGTGGAGCGGGGCAGCAGGCAGAAGGGCAGCTTCATCGTTGGCAAACGTTAAATTGACCCCATTATCACAAATACCATAGATAGAAACGAGCTAGAGGTGTATTTGACCTTAGCCCTCAGGTTATCCGGAGCCCTGTCCCCGCTGCCGGTATGGAGCAGGCGGCCCCCCGTGAATGAATGCGACGAGTGCCGCGTAACGCTCCCCCGCCCGTCAGCGCCGCTGCTCTGGTCCCGATGCAGGCGAACCAGCTGGCAATGGAGTCGACAGCACATGGACGTGCCGCCTGCCAGCTCGGTGGACGGCGTGTGGGGAGCGGCGGCCTCCGCGTGGTGCTGCACCACGGGCGCTCACGTCCGATCAGGGCTGCCACACACAGCTGTCTCGACACAATAGAGTGCACTGCAGAGACAATGAGCGCGCAAGCGGCATCCACATGCCTTTTCCAGTGGAAGTTCAATAGCCATTGCGTCATGAGCTGTGCCACTGACACGGCGGCGCCCATCTCGACCACCACCGGAGGCATCTCCGCCGCACTCGAATCGACGGCCTTTCCGTGGCGCGGTATCCCGTCATCCTTCGGCGCTTTCAGAGCGCGTCCTTGACCTCCTCTCCCATCTTTTCGCCACCGGGCCCACTGGCTTAGAGTTGGCATTCAACCCGCGTTACGTGCTCCGCCATCCCGACAAAGAAAACAGTCATGATAAAAATAAAACAGAGCTCAGTTAAACCTCGCGCCACCGAGGCAGGCGGTCCCGAGACGGTGGGATCGGCGGGAGCCGTGATATATACGGAGGAGGAGCGCGAGCCGCCGTACGGGCCGCTCAACCGGGTGTGCTTCCCGGTGACTGAGCTCAAGGTCCCACATGCCGCCGACCTGATGAAATATGCAGCGGCAGTGCTCAGTGGTCTCAGGCTTTCCAGCACGCTAGGTGGCAGCGACTAACAATGTTTATTAACACGCCCGTTGGGCGAGGTAGGACGGGCCTACACGTTGAAACCAGCCGGTAAGGAAAAAAGCATTTGTGTCCTGACAGATGGTGTTAGCGTTCAAGCCGTCGTGGTTCAATACGAATTGGTAATATTTTTGCCTCTTATGGCGTATTAAGCACTTGGTAGCCAGCTCCTGAAAGCAATAGTACAATCTTACGTCGAGTATTAATGTGTACATTCGATTTTAAACTACGCATGAAGCCAGTTTCTCAAAGCCGTTTAATGACCTTTGCCAAATTTGGCCGTGGCGTAGATTTATGCGTCTCGTTGCCATGGCAACGAACACCAAACTAGAGATAATACTGGATAATATTTAGCCTTAAAACGTGCGTCTTATGTTTTAAACCCATTTTGAGTGCGTGTTGCTTTAACCTGACATGGCATCAATCAAGATAAAATGATAAATAGGTTTTCACTTGTCTGGCTTGAAATCAAAACATCCACAATAGCTTAAGATTTGGGAGACAATTACCTTCAGCCACAATTATGACGCTTCGATTGAAAAATAATGCTTACAAGGATATGTTATCCTAGGGATAGACGCCACAGTGCATTAGTTAATGTGTCTGGGTAAGAAGTTCCATTCCTCGCGGTGCCCACTCTTTCTGCCAGGGTGGGAGGCGGGCGGCGCCACATACCCTCAACAGCTGAGTGCATCATAAAGCCTCAATGACGACCATAAACAAAGGGAAGGGTACGGTCGAGATTGTTCGAGAACAACGCCAGAGTGGAGAGTGGATACAGAGAGTGGAGACAGCACGCCGTCGGAAAGGACTTTGTGTAATACCATAGCCCACCGACTCGCCAATGGTGGTGTGCAAATAGGGCTATGCACCAACATTTAGTCGACCGCTGCGCGTTTTGGCCATCGACGCGCTATGTTTGTAAGCCTGTTTACTGCGCAATAAACAGAACAACACGTATTGTATATTTCAGTTGTAGACCTGTATTGTATTGTAGATTTGTATTGTATATCAGAACAACACGTATTGTGTGACCTAGTGCAAATTCGTGCAGAACTGGGGGCTGAATCGGGAACTTATGTTGTCCCTAGCTGATACGCTTGGTGAAGCCAGCTATCCTTCATTCATCAGCCTTCTCATTGCTCACTTTCATCTTAAAATCCTCCACCTATCGAGAGGCTTAATTTTGCACAGCCATTGTGGAGAAGACGACGCAACAAGTAAGTGCATGATGCCTGTGCTTACTGAGCATATGTCGGGTTGGGAATTCAAGGTAGGATGGTCAAACCTCAGTTTTCAGAGCTTACGAGAGCATGTGAAATATACGCAGGTTGTTATTGAGCACTGATAAATAAGACATTCACTGATTCCATCATAAGCATCCTGATGTACTGGTTATTAGTAACAGGCTTCTTCTATATGACTGATCAATGGAAACAGGTATCTATTATGTCGTTTTGTGTGGGCTAGCTACTGCCTTGTGGTGTAAATATTGCGCCAGCTGCATGAAGCTGTGTTATCAGAATGAAGTTAAGCTTAGAGTAAAATCCTTGCATTATGCTTAACTACTTTATGACCACTTATTGCACACCATTCTGTTGTTAGCCTGAGTATACACAACAGGCAATGACACTGCCCATACCTCACTTTGAAAAAATATGGTATGCAGCTTGTATGAACATGAATTTATCATACCTATGGTAAGTGCCGTGATAGCCACCAAAAATGATCTGAAGTGAGACGTATTTTGTTTTGTTTTGTTTTTGTTTCTGGTAAAGAAAGCCTGTTGACCAGACAGTTTTGCCTTGCATGCTGGTCTTGGCATGCCACACCCAAGGCTTTTTGCCTGAGTGACTGGAACAGTTACTATGTCTTGCTCATATTGAATGCTATGTCCTTTTATACCTTCCGCAGCTGTTGTATGTTGCTTATGCTTGCCACTTCAGCAATTTGTCTTTCAATACGTAACTACCTTAACGTCAGTACTGTAATCTACAACACAACTACTTGCGTTGATTGCATTGCCAAATTCCTCAAGGACTTGTCAAAATTAAGCTCTGTCGTATATAAATTATTTGCTTTGAGAAACTATGTAAGATTGTTTGCGTACATTCGTGTCGTAAACTTACATTTATTGTGTATCTTACGGGTGTCGTAAGATTATAGTTATAAATACTCCAAGGAATACACTGAGCTTGTGGTTTGCACCGAGCCCAGCAGCGCACGTCACATCACTGTGAATCGAACCATTTGTTAGCCATTACCGTTAACTTTGATTTACTCCGATCTCATTTGTACACATCATGGGCTATTGTAAAAATGTACTCACCAGCTACTTCAATTTACTCTAGATGGTCTCGGAGGGTCTGATAATCGATGTAAAGCGTGAAAGCCACGTCAGCTCCAATGATTTTTGGCACGGAAACAAATGGCACGACACCAAAGATTTACGACGCTAATATTCTGAGCTGTATGTGTGTAATACGATAACTATCCTGACACGGATATTGATGCTGGCGCCGTACACTGTCACCGGCGAGCCCTTAAAAATAAAAAAACTATTCTTTCTCATCAAACCTAGATAATAACTTTTTACTGGCGTGCCTTTCGAATCTCAAACCCAGTTAACATTGCTCGAGAATACCAAGGTCTTTAGGTGTTCGTTATAATTACGTGTGGTTGAAAAATGTCTGATTCTCTTTTGTCGTTGATTAGCCGACGAAAAGTTGTGTTGGAACTACGGCGCCATGTCCTCCAAAAGGACATCATTATTCGTTTGTACGAACATAGTAACAGGCAATCATGCTTGTAATATCTGGCGCTTGACTGTGCGAAATCGGTAGCAACCTTACTCGTTACACTCATACCACAATAATGCAGCCATAAAACGAGCACACTGCTACAAGTATCAATCGCTATATTGCCAACAGACGTCATACAGTTGCGCCGACTTTCTCGTAAAAATGGAGAGAGAGAAAATCGCCTGCACCCAGGTACAATACATTTCGTGTCAAAGAATGGGTGATGGGTTCAGTCTTTGTCACGTCAAAAGAGCATTGCAAATTGAAGGACAGTAAATGAGTTTGGCTCTCCATTTTGCTACAGGCTTATACACACTTCTAGGGCTGTAGATGGCCTCTGAGTTTCATGGGCGTCAGGTGGTAACGGCTGTCAGTTACAGTGCCAGACTACCATAGGTGATGTTTCAATGGCGTTACGCATCCAGATGCTGCCATGTTGGTTCCAAACAAATTGTATTTATGTGCACTGTACATGTTGCAATGGAACTTCATCTTGCTGATGAGTCTCTGTTTGTTCCACGAGCTGAAGACGGCTTAACAAAAGCCTCAAGCTATCTCAGGTCGCGTCAAAAAGGCGTCATATGATCAAACGCTGAAAGTAGTCATCACTTTAGAGTCCGTTTTGTCATGCAGGCGTTTGGAGCTTTATAAAATGCTTGCCAGCAACTGACCAAACAACATGCATTTTACTTTGCCTGTATGCGGAATCTATATATCTAATCTGGTTACATAGCATGCAAACAGAGATACACGCATCTCATAGCACATGTTGCGAGGCAAGTAATGCACTTAATAAGAACCGTACGTACGTACGCACGCAGGCACGCACGCACGCACGCAAACACACACACCACACACACACACACACACACACACACACACACACACACACACACACACACACACACACACACACACACACACACACACACACACACACCACACACACACACACACACACACACACACACACACACACACACACACACACACACACACCACACACACACACACACACACACACACACACACACACACACACACACACACACACACACACACACACACACACACGCACACACACACACACACACAACACACCACACACACACACACACACACACACACACACACACACACACACACACACACACACACACACACACAACACACACAACACACACACAACACACACCTATATATATATATATATATATATATATATATATATATATATATATATATATAGTGTGTGTGTGTGTGTGTGTGTGTGTGTGTGTGTGTGGTGTGTGTGTGTGTGGTGTGTGTGTGTGTGTGTGGTGTGTGTGTGTGTGTGTGTGTGTTTATGAGTGTATGTACTTATGTCCCACATTATGCATTAGTATCAAACTAATGAGACACATGCAAGCATGTTTGAGAATAGACAGCACAACGTGGCAAAATCGGACCTGACCTAAGATAGTCCTGAGACTACGCACCTGCGTGCACACGCATTCATAATGTTGCACAAGTACTAATGTATCCATTTCAGGTTCCTTTCATGAGCTTATTAGATGCATTTGCATGTGTATTAGCAGATATGTGTAAGCAAATCAGCAAGAATGGTGTGCTTCGACCTGATATGTGGCTCGATCAGCAATAAACAAGAAAAAATGGCCCACATGCCCATCAGAGTGACGCATGCTGGGATCTTTCGTCCCGGGTGTCTGTTGTCATCTGAATCAGCTCGGTCGGCTCACTCACTCCTGATCCATTCAGGGGAGAGGGCGTCAAATGCGTTTTCCCAGAAAATGAGTGAGGCCGGACTCGGGTGGGTCAACAGGTATAGCATGTCTGCAGCTGCCAGCGGTAAATATTTATCGATGAATTGTTTGTGGAATCTGTGCAGTTTCATCATCGTGACCCAGCGCATCCCAGGGCCACTTAGGTCGTGTGGCAGAGATCAAAAACCGCGGCCGCAATCCAAATGGCTGAATGTCACTCATCCGTCACACGTCAGCGCTCTTTAACCACATGTTGTCACCAACAATAGCCGACGGATCTGGGGATTATGACGCTTGGAAGGTCTCAACAGGTGGATTAGGGCCAGACCACATCCCACAAAACACAAGAAACGGGGCCTTGGCGACGCGCCAGAGTTGACCCCGCCGGCAGGCCCAACAGTCAATGACTCCGGGATGGGCACGAGGCGAGGTTGCGGCAAGAGACGGGGTTCCACCGCCTGATGCGCAGGTCATCTCGATGAGAGCGACCCGTCCGCTCGGTCCCGTGGCCATGAAGGCCCACTGCGAGTGCGGCGGGTGTTATTGCCGCCGGCAATCGAAGCCAGAGTAGCGCTTCCCAGCGGCCGTCACCAAACTCCCTGCTGCTCGTCTTTGGTGAGATAATGTATATGTTTTGAAGGTTACGGTGCCGTCGAATGTTCAGGTGTGAGGTCCCAGGCTGGTACTCACCGGGCTTGTAAAGCCTCACTTGAGTTGCTCTGCCGCATTTTGGTCACCAACACTATGATAATATTGACCAAAAAGGCGACGTTCAGCTGAAAGGGAGACAAGATGTTAATATACGACAGCAGGGTCCTCCGCTTTGCGAATACACACTATCTTCAGCATGTCTACGTTTTATTGTTGCCTCTGAAAAATCGCTGGTAAAAACCACTCTAGTTATTCAATCGGTGCGACGATTCCAATAAGTTCCCTTATTGTTGCAAACATCGTTGATGTATTTATTTTGCACAGTATAACTGGCAGCCGGAGACCACGTCACGGCTGCAGTAAGTTGTCTACAGTAAGTTGTCTGCTGGAAGCTCTTCGAGAGGCGAAATCAAAGACCATACTACAGCGGAATGTACCGCTATCCCAGCAAAGGCCGAGTGTTGTGGTCTTACCATCATGACGGCGATTCTGGGTCCCTCCAGTATCCAGTAATGCGTCGTAAGGTTATAATTCCACCAACAGCTGGTGACCAGAGCACAGTGTCACATCAAAAGCATTGGGCGTGCCTTCTCTTGAGGGTCGTTGACAATATACCCGATGTTCAATGTCCTTATTTGTAGATGAGTTTATTCTTATCAACACATTTATGATCGATATATCGAGTCATTCACATTGTGTTATCGAGGCAAATTTATACTGGCATACCGATACATATGCATATGGGCACACGGTTACGTAGATCGATGTATGAGAACATTCGTGTAAATACATCGAGATCGTCATGTCGATTGGTAGCCCCCCCCCCCCCCGCACACACACTGCAATCATACGCATAGTGTAACTAAATGACACTCGCTATGAGTTAAATGTGTCACAAATTAACAAATTGTAATAAAACTGAAAGCCTAGGGCCCATCTGACTTCATTATCCCAATAGGATGTCTTTCTCAAGTAATAAGATGCTCAAGTAATACTTAGGTCTTACTCAACTAGTAATTAATAAGATAGTAAAAGATTTCTTTAGGTTTTTCCAGCAGAGTGCTTGCTCAGCCTGTGGTGATTCATAAAAGACTGAAAAATAGCGTTGATTGTTAAGGACAAGAGCAGGAGGTCCTTGCGTCTCTTACCTTATCTCCCCGTAGTTCAATCCCGTAAACACTGCCCATATCGCGGTCATAATAATTGGCACACCCCATCCAGTGGCGTAGTAAAACTTGTCGTAAAACTTCGGGGAAAAGACCGTCACTGAAACCAAAACGCAGCGTCATTTTCGGAAAGCGGACTTACACAAACGAAGTGTGCCTGTTCGATGACATTAGGCGGTGGAATGTCACCAAAAATTCTGAAGCCCGGGACACAGGAGTCCACTTTAAAATCACACTGCAGATCAACATAGTTCCCCGCTAGACGAACGCGCTTAACGAGCTTTGCTTCCAGTCAACAGCAAAGATAAAATTAATGAAGCTGGCATAACTAGTTGGACTTCAACGTACACACGTCAAGTTTATACCATAAGTTCGCATGCTGCTCCACTTAACACGGTATCGTCATCACTAAAAGTGTGCCGCCCACAAGACTGCAGCAATTTAACAAGGCAAAATATGACTTAGTGCTTAAAGAAAGCAAAACAATCACCACCACGTCTTATCACCAAACACCGGAGATCTCCTCTACCACCGGATAAACTCAAGGACACAATTGCCAAGGTGCAACAGGTCCGGTTTCCGCGGAGACTGCGGTGGCCTGAAGCGGCCGCATTGGAGCGGGTTCTGCTGTGTCCCGGAACGGCTGCATTGGACCGGGTTCTGCTGTGTCCCAGAACGGTCTCATTCGAGCGTGTTCTGCTGTGTCGCGGAACGGCTGCATTGGAGCGGGTTCTGCCGCGTTCCGGAACGGCGACATTGGAGCGAGTTCTGCTGTGTCCCGGAACAACCGCACTGGAGCGGGGACTGTTGTGTCTCGGAGCGGCAGCTGGATCCAATTTTCAACCAGACGGACCGCAGCAACAGCCCAGTCGGCGGGGGCGGATGGCGAGCCATGGTCAGGCACGTCAGTGAAATTCCGTTGAGATGGGCGTCCAGCTGTGGACGGTGATAAGCTACCTGTCGTGCACACTAATGCTGTCGTGGTTTAAAGCACAGCAAACTCCGACCAGAAGCCTATCGCCGCCCTTAGCAGGCTGTGGCCGGGCATGCATGGACGCGGCTCGGGGACGGCAGGATCTGGGTCCGCTTGCGCCGCACTCGCGAACACGATTACCTGATATCATCGTGTTCAGGTAGAGACCTTCGATGAACATCCACATGAACATGGCCGTGCGGGCATACTCGAGCAGCACGTAGAACGCCTCGCAAACGAACGGCTGCAACAGATCGTGAACAGCGTCGTGAGTGGTGCCTGGCAGGCGCCGGTGCCGGGGCGCCCAGAACTTTGTCTGACAACGTCAAACTCGTGCGTGATTCTGGTTAGGGTAAGAATGAACTCAGAAATCAACTACGAAAGTTCAGAAGTCAGCTCTTTCCCATAGCTGTTTATGGCTAGGAGCCGGAACTGGGTCGCGACGATTGGCTGAAATCGTCCAGAAACCAACAAAAAGGAGCATACTTAAAGAACGTGGTAATTTGAAAACAGCCATGTACAAAACAGGCTTCCGCGTATTTCTGATGCTAACCTGAATATAAGCTTCGCGACCGATTCAACCTGAACATAGGCTCCATGAGCCTGTGTATGGTCTATATAGCACGTTATAACACAATGCTATTGGAAGTGACTAAGTTAAAATGGACCCCTAATCCCGGCAACTCACGCTAATATGAAATAAGCCGGCCAATATCTACACAGCACTGCTCTGAGCTTGAAGTGGAATCGATTCGGTGACTTGTGGGTGCGATTCCAAGCCGATATTATCAAAGTTGACCGCTTTGGTGACCGCTCGCCACGTGCACTGCCTGCATGTCCTGAGCTCGGAATCGTGGCGCAACACTCAACGTGCTGATTCGTCCGCAGCTGTCACCGTGTTGCGTCGCTCCTCTGACTGCAGTCTTACAGACATGGCTGTCCGTCTGGTGCGCCGTTGGTCACACTCACTGTATTGTCGATGCCCTGGCTGGCTGAACCGATGGGAGCATCCTCGCCGATACCACCGCGACTGATGACCTGGTCCAAGTAGAGCACCAGACGCACCAGCACTTGGATCACCATGGCAACCAACAGGTTCCGATGTATCTTGGTGCGGTTGTTCTTCAGCGACCTGAAGAATGCATCGCTTCGAGTCAGCATCTGATAAGCCTCGATCGCTCAACAGCTAGCGTGCTCGTCTTTCCAGAATGTTTGTTATAAAGACAGCAAGTAAGTGTCAGTTAGTGAGGAGGGGGCGATTCCAAAGAGCGAGGCCTAAGCCTCAGTGCGCGGAACTTAAAAAAAAAACGTCGGCGAATTTTCAGGCCTTTGGGTCTTTTCCTTACGTGCTAAATCCCAGGTACAGCAAGCAGCATTGATACGCGGGATGGAAAAGGATCCGAAGCAGAAAATTCGCTTCCATCAAAACTAATGTCGCATATCTGTAATGACAGCGACACGGCGTCGGGTTGTTATAAGATCGATAACGCAAGTCATAACTTTTCGTCAGCTGCTTTCGGACGAGACAGCTGACTATTTCCGAGGATGGCCTTCAGCAGCGGAGGCAAGGAGACGTTGGCTTCCCGGCGGACCGCGTCGGCTACGGAACAGTGAGATGCCAGCAGTGCCGCGGCTCCGTAAGAGGGCGAGGGGAGGACGCCCGGCGCCCCGCGCGCTCTGACAGATCGGGTCGTTTGCCGCGAAGGCCGATCCGCCTGTCCAGTTGGCTGACCTATCGGCGCCGCTGGGCCGATGGAGAACGGCCGTGCACGGCAGCACATACATTCGAGACGACCGCCGGTCAAGCACGCGGCGCGCGCTCAGGTCGGGCCTCAATGTGACGGCCGACGGCTGATGATTAGAAAGATGTTCGTACGCTAGAGACCCAGAATGGGTTCATCCGCATGGTCAACAAGCAATGACCACATTGAGCACAGCATTCGCCGTATCGGCATTCTGATGCAGACCTTTTTGTGCTTTGCTTTGCGGCTGTAACGCTTATACGGCATCAGGTAATGGACACCTGAATAGAGACCATGCTGGCAAATAACTGGAAGCCAACCCGGAAACTGTTCAGATTGTTAGTAAACCTCACATCGTGAAATCAAAGCGACTCAAAGCCCTTGCGTGGAAATCAGCTGGCTGCATGAGGAAATTACTACTCGTTAGTTTACAAGATCCCAACAGCCAGCTCATTTCAATCTCGTTCTGGTCGTGCGCAGCTATGGATACCAGCAATCGTTGCAGGACAGAAATTACTGGAAGCTAACGTTCTGAAGGAGCGCATTGGCGGCGTTTCCTAGGATCGTGTGATTTGATCAACCGAAGTGCGCGGACTGGCGTCCTGCCGCCATCGCAGGGAACGTCGCAGATGGAGCGGTCAGGTACAATCCTACTGGAAACTATGCCGCAGGTTGACGGTAGATATTCCGCATTAAGGACGGACTTACCGCGTTGAGCCGCACCTTAAGTGGGCAAAATCGCCCACTTCAGTCACGGTAACATTCAGTCAATATTTACTTTACGAGAGTGAAATGCTTCGCTGCTATTCGCTGCATCAGCATGCTTTGAATATATCACCTGTCATGTGCATCTATCTTAAAATCGCAATTAAACAAGTCTCCCCAAAAAGTAACATACCGCGTGCAAACTACAAATATAATTGGCATTCCACAGATGTATTAATACGAACACCCTGAGCATTTATGACAAGTTTGTAATATATATATATATATATATATATATATATATATATATATATTCATATTATAATATATATAATGATTTAATTAATATAACGCAATAAGAGAATTTATCACACCGTGCACTTCTGAATTATGTCAGTTTGTAAGAAGCTAGTGAGGATCAAATCTTGCCTGCTTCCCAGTCCCCCGCACAGATGTGGAATAATCTTTCATCCCTCAAACATTTCAGCGTGCCCTCTGCATATCCCCTTCTACTCGAGTGGACATACCTGAAGTGGAAGAAGATGAACAGTGATATAAACAGAGTTGCGAGTGACAGAGAAAGTCCAGTCAGCTCCAAAATGCGCGTGTTTCGCGCTATCAGGATCTTTTGCTGAAAATGGATAATAAACGGATCAGTGGGCGCTAACATGTTTTTACCACAGGCAGGAGTCAAGTTAGCGGGAAAAGGCCATCAGGTGTTCCACTTCATGCATCATGTACGTGGTGGATTAACGTAACTGGCTTGTTCAGAGTATTTGCACCAGTGGTATTCACATCAGTCAGCACCAATCCTGCCCCATTCGTTCATGATCTCAATGCCTAACAGCTCAGGGAACAGTTCTCACCGCAGAGAAAATCTGCAGGCGTTAAGTTGCAAACCATGAACTATGTCATAGCCGAGACACCTTTTCAGCAGGGCACAAATAAGCTGATCATAGACTGGGCAATCTTCACTGTCATTGGAAACGCACACAGCAAATTTGACATTTGGCTGAGATGCTAACCTGTGCATCCGAAATATACACAAATAGACTGAACCAACAGCCCGCCCCTTGCGATGCGGGACGAGGGATTTGATAACAGACGCGAGAGTTATCAAATAGACTGAACCAACAGCCCGCCCCTTGTGATGCGGGACGAGGGATTTGATAACAGACGTGAGAGTTATCAGACTGAACCAACAGCCCGCCCCTTGCGATGCGGGACGAGGGATTTGATAACAGACGTGAGAGTTATCAAATAGACTGAACCAACAGCCCGCCCCTTGCGATGCGGGACGAGGGATTTGATAACAGACGTGAGAGTTATCAAATAGGCTGAACCAACAGCCCGCGCCGTGCGATGCGGGACGAGGGATTTGATAACAGACGTGAGAGTTATCAAATCATCATGTAGATGGTGCAAAAAACCAAGGTACCGAGCCAGGAACCTTTGAAACCAGATACCCCTGCAAAATATTTTGATCAGGGCGTTGCCACATCCATCATCTATGAGTGGTTGGGATAGATGGGCCACACTGATATAAGCTTGATGCGCTTAGTAAGGAGTCGTGTTTGCTGGATACTAGCTGGACGAAGGTCAGGTGTAACCCTGTCATATATTATGACATCGTAACCTAGTAATATATGAAACGATGCTCTCGATTATCTATCTGCCCTGTTGCTAGTATGTTGTTACCAGCGTGGTAGGTATGTACGCATGCGTTAAAAATACGTATGTTGTTGCTGTTGCCGTACCACATTGTTGAGTGTATTCGTTGCTTCTTCCATTTTCTTGCGTGACACGAATATCACTATCACGATACCTTCGTTTACCTTATGGTGCCAAAATTATTCTATCTCCAAATTCATATGCATAAAGTAAATAACGTGGGACAACGCATTGCAACAAGAAAGACAGCATTCATGTGATCCAGGGTAGAGGACAAAGACAATGCATAACGAATGCAGTATAATTAATTAATGGATCTTTTAATGACATAAAGTATGGTGTAAGGCTCGATTCAATCGCCGCTGCGCAGCTGAATGCCTGTGTAACAATGAGGAATGAACAAACAACGTATGGGTAACTTCTTTAGAGCTCTACCCATCTACCAGGGCAAAGGCCGAACGAGAATATGTAAGTACCTCGGCGTCGGCCTGGGAGCCAGCGTACAGCTTGGCGATGATTTTCCTCATCTCGTCCGTGTAGCAGGTGGTGTAGTTGGTCCAGCCAGCCTCGGACGGCGCGTCATTTAGCGTTTTCCCTTTCCACAGGCCGGACGGCAGGCAGACTTTGAAAACCAGTTCTAGGGGCGGAGAGACCACGTGATCAAAGGCTCGTCAACTGATGTGGGGTTGCGATGCGAGCAAGAAAATAACAACAGCAAAACGGACAGCGATGACCAGAAATATGATATGCTTTGAAGTACGACGACAGCTTATAAACAAACTTGCTCACGAGTAACACTTTTAGATGGTGTCGCCATTCTGGCATCACAGAAGTCACAAAAATACTAGCAAAATACAGCACCGTCGGAAAACAACACCGATGGAATCTCATTCTAGCTGTCGCTTCAGGACCAAACTGTGCCTAAATTTACTTTGCCAACGCCGCAAAACTTATCAGCACCGCCACTTAATGGGATTACGTCAAACAAGAGGACGAGTTCATATATTTAGCGCAGTGTTCTTATTGAAAACATTCCATGATTTGTGGATAGCTATCAAGTCATCAGAGCGAGAAGAGACTCATTTCGCATCAAGACTTTGATTGCCTCTAAACAATCCATCGCTGTCCATCAGTCATGCTGATCAGACTGAACGCATAATATACCACTTTATATCCAGAGGCCTCTATTTCGAGAGCACGAGGGTACGATCATCGTCAGCGCGCATACATGCCAGGGCCGTACCACATCACAGACGCCACACTATCGGACCGGGGACCGTGTCATACTGCAGGCGCTGTACGAGAGGACCGGGGCCGTACCACACCGCAGACGCCGTACTAGAGGACCGGGGCCGTGCCGTACAGCGGACGCCGTACTAGAGGACCGGGGCCGTGCCGTACGGCGGACGCCGTACTAGAGGACCGGGGCCGTACCACACCGCAGACGCCGTACTAGAGGACCGGGGCCGTGCCGTACAGCGGGCGCCGTACTAGAGGACCGGGGCCGTACCACACCGCAGACGCCGTACTGGAGGACCGTGCCGCACCTCATAAACCGTACTAGAGGACCGGGGTCGTTACACAAGGCCGATCGCCGTACGCCACAGTACGGGGCCGGACCACCCTGCAGGGGGCCGTACGTCACGGCAGGGGCGGAGGGGTGTGGCGCACGGCCGAGGCGTGTGTCGTAGCTCGCAGCCAGGTACAGTACTCACTGCTCGGGTCCACACCCTTGAGTGTTGGGCATTGTTGTGACGTAGTGGTGCCAGCAGCCGTAGGTGGCCAGCAGAGGATGTTATCCCAGGTGGCATTGCAGAACGGACCTGCAACGGCAAAGAGATGCAGCTCAGGTTTAGCAGAAGGCGTGAACGTGACGTGTCGCGAAACGTGAACGTGACGTGCCACCGGATGTCAGCTTAACGTCGCGGCGAAATGTTTTTAAGAGACGTCTTTCAAACTAGAACCCAAATATTTCCAGCAGTATAACAACTCACCTGAGCGCATCACTTACTTGGAAACTTTTCGCGCCTCGGGCTACATTTGTCTGATGCAACAAATCACTTTGCTCTAAATATCTCCGACAGAAACACCACACATGTGCGCCAAACAGACCACGGTCAATTTCCGTGCGCCACGCTATCAAGCCCATAGTGGCCCGTGTCCACTTGTAACGTCGTCAATGAGGGTTCGTTTCCGTCTGTTGCAGTGCCAGACGACGGTCCTTTTCCGCTTCTCACGCTGTCATTGGTGGCCTGTGCACGCGTCTCACGCTGTCAATAGTGGTCCATATCCGCGTGTCATGCCGTTAATAGTGGTCCGTGTCCGCGTGTCATGCTGTTAATAATGGTCCGTGTCCGCGTGTCATGCTGTTAATAGCGGTCCGTGTCCGCGTGCCATGCTGCTAATAGTGGTCCATGTCCGCGCTTTACGTTGTCAATGGTGGCTGATTTCCGCGCGTCATGGTGTCAGACCATGATCCATCTCCACACGTCACGGTGCCATACTGCGACCTTTTTCCGAGGAGTATCTTTACTTTGAGCTTTCGACAGACACCGGCACTTGTCAATAACTATTCACTTTTAACTTCACGTGACACCGGAAACTTTGGCATCCACGACATTTACAGGGGCGACTTGCATGGTAATCTAACACGTTTAAACCCAATTTACAGCTTGCAAACATGAAAAACAACTTAGGTATGCCAATAGCGATGACACAACAGCATGCAAAGCGCACATGGTCAGGGAGTACCGCGGTTTACAACGCAAATCGCTTGCATGATCGCACCAAGCACGTCGCGTGTGCCACTCCGTCATGCGCATGGGAAGCAGTTCGCTGTGTTCGGATCTCGCAAGAGGCCCTCAATTCTAAGACACGGCATTACAATATTCCAGCGCTCTACGAAGGACCCTGGCGTTCGTCATTTAAAGGTTATCAGCTGAGAGTGCGTCACCAGTCCTTGGAATCTCATGACGGACCACGGAGTCATCATGATAGCACGTCCTCTATATTTCGCAGAAGTCGGAGAAAACAAACGTCAGAGGCACTGCACTGTTCATACAGTTAAAACGGTTTATGGCGTATGGTTTGAGAGCCAGTAACCACAACCAGACGGCAAACGTGTTTTTTTGTTGTTGTCAAAGCCACCATCTTTCCAGGAAGGAGCACGGGCCAACCACGAATGTACACCGTCAAGTTAAGCCAAAACTTTGCAATTTATAATTTGCAATGGACGAACTATATATAATCTGGCAAACACACCTCGTACATTGATATTCGCGCTCGGCTTCGACACGTGCCAGGATGGCTTTTGAATGTAACGTGGCCTGTGGGGTGGAGGGCTCAATTTGACCTTTTCCCTTAAAAACTAAGACGGCTTTAGACGGGTCTGAATTTGATTGAATTTGAATTAAAAAAATAAGACGGGGTTCAATTTGAATTCACGGGTTAGGTAAGTTTCTAGGTGAGCTCACTTGCGTCAGCTGTTTTGGTCTCCAGATCAAGTGAAGGCCTTCAAGTGAAAGAAGGTCACACAAAGTCAAACTCCAGATCGGTTTCCGAAGTGCCCTCAGACCTCATACGGCCAGTTATAGCCTGGTGCTTTCTCAAAGCAAAAGGGAACTTGAGGTCACATCAGGTCCGCGATCTTCCCTGATCTTGAGAAGGCCAAAATGAGAAAAATACTTCAAAATTTTTTGATATTTGTACTTAAATTAGCAAAAAGTGTTGTGTGGACATACGCCAACCGGGTATCAGACTGGATGGCGTTCTCTAATCTTTGCGTTACTCAACTCTACCTCTGCTAAGTTTTGTTAGACAAGCAAACCAACTTTGCGATAATGAACAGATCAGTGCAGCGTGCAACGAGGTAGCCACACAAACTTGGTATCGATGCATTTGAGGCCAATTTCACTGCCCGACAGGTCAGTAAAGTATTATCATTGTCAAAATGCATTGAGCGCTGTGTGCCCTATACAGTCTCCAAATAAAAACAAAATTGCCTAACGGCTGGTTTTAAAAGATATGACCCCTGCGACTACAGCTAATCCAAATATAACCCTGACTGAGTCTCCTCTGCACATGGGAGCCTGTTGTTTGTGCATACAACCATATTGGCAGGCATTTCTATATTGAAGGTATTTGACGACCCCAATAACAGGGATTACATTGCTTCACTAACTTGCTTAAATCGTTACCTGCAGACAGCTGAGTATCCAAACTCCCCTTTTTTCTTACTAGATCCGTCCCTGGCACTTAACGAGCATTCCTCACCGTCTAAATGAGATGAGCCTTAACTTAATAAAGCGTGCCGCAAGTCATTGTAGTGAAACATCGGCCCGGTCCAGCAAAAGAACTTCTGACGGCACATTCACCTTGAACGACCCCTGACACGTGCTGACAGCGTCCCAAATACCGGCACTGACCCTGAACTGCTGGCCCAAATACCGGCTGACCCATCTGCGCGCGTCCCACATACGCACGGACCCTGATACGTGGACAGCGTCCCAATCCGGATGACCCTGATACTGCTGACAGCGTCCCAAATACACTGGACCCATACGTTGACGCGTCCAACCCACTGACCCCTATACGTGCTGACAGCGTCCCAAATACCGGCACTGGATTCGCCTCTGAATCGTATAGGACGTCCGAATCTTCGGACGGTACTTTAAAACTTCTAATTGTTTTAGGTCAGGTGCAAAAAGAAGCGAGGAAATAGTATGGTTTAACCTGAATGGTCGGTGCTGAATTCTAATAGATCTTGGGTAGGATTGCTTGCTAGATGACATGGAAAACCCTGGTAGGTTTCACTGCTCCAGGTCGTTATTTCGGAAAATGAGGGATCATGCTTAACTGATGCACCCTTCTCCGATTTCGGCGCTCTTCTCGTGTATGAGATTGCGTGCTGTAACTGAAGGTGATACCGACCAGGCAGAACAGAACGCCTTGGATCCTGGTGACCTCCTGTCCCCCCCCCCCCTCCATCGAGGAACCACGAGGAACACGCTTGGGTGCCCGCTCGGTCAAGCCATACAAAGCCCTCTGATTGACTTCGCCTCGACAGAAACATGCGCGCCCACCAATTGAAACGGCACTGGTGTCGACCGAAACAAATTAGGGCCGCTGTTATCTGCATTGGGTCCAGCCAATATGTGATCCTCAGAGTACAGGCAGCATATATAAAACTTTGAGCTGCAATGGCTTCTGTCTCGGTATCGAGTTGCCCAGGCATCACCCGTCGCCAGCTCGCGACATGATTATGCCGGTTTGGCTATCTGCACGCTTGGGTGGTTAGCAGATCTCACCACGCCAAAAACTCATTTCCACAGGCATCCTGCACATGGTCCGAAGTATTGCAAACACTAGGGGTGTTGATGATGATGGCGTACTAAGCAGGAGCTTAAGCGACGTTCAGGTCGCGTGAACTGCGTTCCAATCCCACATATTCTATAACTATTCTAGCAGGCACCCGCCGTTCCGCGACAAACGGCTTCATAGGTTATTAACTGCTAATTATCTAGTCGTTAAATGCGTAAGTGCTTAATCTAACGACTGCGTTGTAGCGTGAAAAGCGTCGCTACCAAAGGAGCTACCAGGGAACCACGAAGCCGGTTGTAAGGCCTACACGAAAAATAAAGGCAATCAGACACTCACATGCAGATACTGACTGAGATGAATGGCACTAAAATAATCCTGGCGCTTTCTACGCATCCCGAAACCTAACTTTTCATTCCTTTGCAAGGGTGCTTATTTCCGGAAGTCTTTTTTGCAATGCGAGCACTTTTTAAGTGCAGTGCAACTGCAGTGTGCTTCACTTAAATTGCCGAATTAAAAAGGTTGCAATGTATATCAAAAACATTTACTAGCCTGCTTTATATTACAGATAGTTGGCCTTACTATTTTGTTACAGCCGGTGCTCATCAGCAGCCTAGCAAAACGCATCCACAACGGTCCTGTTACAAGGACGCACTTTCAAAAGTTCAAGACTCACACTTTCAAATGGCGCGTGCAGCCTCTGAGCACCAAGACAGAGGAGGCCTGCATCTTTAGCTCCCAGAGCTCACTGGTTATGTGAGACATCAATCTGCATATCCAACAATTTTCGACAATTCCTGCCAGACGTAGACATATGTATTTCAGCAATACTTGATAGCGCGCTTGGGTTATTTTTAGCATCTTTACTTGCACTTTTCAAATCGACATTTCAGATGAAATACCCTGCAAAGCGGGCTCACGAGACGCAGCAAACAGCGGAGCTTAACAAGAAACGAAATATCGTGTGAATCATAAAGTGAAACACAAAAAGCTTAAAGCGTCACCGCACGCGTATGACGTGCTTGCAGTCACATATCTATGATCGGGTGTTTACCTGCCACTGAAGCCGATATTACAAATATTGCGGAAATGATGAGAGAAATCATGGTTGGCATATTGCTTCCGCACTCACACACACACATATATATATATATATATATATATATATATATATATATATATATATATGCGTGTGTGTGTGTGTGTGTGTGTGTGTGTGTGTGTGTGTGTGTGTGTGTGTGTGTGTGTGTGTGTGTGTGTGTGTGTGTGTGTGTGTGTGTGTGTGTGTGTGTGTGTGTGTGTGTGTGTGTGTGTGTGTGTGTGTGTGTGTGTGTGTGTGTGTGTGTGCATTCCATTTTCAGGACCTCGGCTAACGCGCATTTTTAGACTCTGCCCAAAAATACACAGACGTGCATGAGCGGGCTCATGTGGGATTTCATCTGGTCCTGACTAACGTTAACAGTCACAGTATGACGCCAAAGGAAAGCTGAATACAGTTAAGTAAAAA